GAGGCCCGGCGGCTGCAAGCCTTGGGCCTCGCTGGTCTTCCCCCCCCGGCTCCGAAGTGAGGCCCGGCGGCTGCAAGCCTCGGGCCTCGCTGGTCTTCTCCCTCCGCTCCGAAGCGGCGGTAAGGCAGTCTGCAGAGCGTTCCCTGCGCATGCACAGGGGACGCTCTGTTACTTTTGGGGGGATTTAAGTATCCCCCCGATATTTTTTTCAGGTTTTCATATTTTTGTGCACACTTGCGGACTGCCCCAAGTGTGCACGAAAATCTCCCTTCCCCCCAGGTGCCCCTGATGCGCGGATTTAGGTATCCGCACGCTAGGGGGCGACTTTAGTCTTAGTATATAGATGTGTAACATGGGGGGGGGGAGACCCTACATTGGCTGAAGAAGCCATGCTGTTAGTCTGAGGCACTGTAGGTCTGGCTGCTGACCTCCTGGTACCTCCAAAGAGGTCTCCCCACGTGGAAGGTGCACATACATGCTCTGAGACCTTCTAAGCAGCACCTGGGACCATAACTTCCTCAGCCAAGAAGGAGCCACCAGAATACAATGAGTGTTGTCATGTACAATCTTTGATAATACTCTTCCCAGCAGTGGAACAGGAGGGAATGTGTACAGAAACTCCTGGGATCAATCCAGTTGAAAAGCATCTCCAAGAGAGCTCAGGTTTCTTCCTGCTCTTGAACAATAATGAACCATCTTTGCATTGAAGCGAGTTGCAAATAAGTCTAGGCTTGGGAACCCCCAATTTTGAAACACTGGGAGCAGAACCTCCAAAGGGAGGAACCATTCATATCTGCTGTCTGACAGTCAGCTTAAGCCGTCTGCTGTGATATTGTATTTCCCTGCAATATGAATGTTGCATGGTTTTTTATTGCCCGGTCCCAAATGCCCTCCATTTCTTGGCACAGAGCTAGAGACGTCGTTCCCCCTTGCTTGTTTAAGTAATACATCACTGTTGTGTTGTCTGAATTAACAGCACCTTGTTGTTGAGCATATCTGCAAAAACGTTAAGGGCATTCTTAACTGCTTTAATCTCCAATAAATTAATATGCATTTCCCGCTCAAGTGGGGACCACACACCACAAGTTTGAATCCCTTCACAGTGTGCCCCCCACCCCAATCTCGAAGCATTAGTCGTCAGGACTGCATCCGGGGAGGAGGACCCAAAGGGAACTCCCTGCATCAGATTGACATCTTGGGACCACCAATATAAACCCCTCAAAATCAATCTTGGAATGGCTAAACGTCTAATTAATAAATTAATTATAATTAATT